GGCGAGGGGCAGAGCAAGCTGCGCGGGAGAGGGGGCGGGGAGAGCCCTTCTGCTCCGAGGAGCTCGCAGCCTCTCCGTGTGGCAGGTGGTCCTTGCCGGGTGCCCACAGGGACACGCCAGTGAAATGGCTGTCGGGGTAGCAACCCGTCCCTTTTGCCAGAGGATGCCCGTCTCTGAGTGTTTATTTGTCGGGATTCTCTAATATCATCAGTATAATATTCTTGAAGCCTAAGTTGCTATAACGAACACAGTGGGAATTTTTAAAAATATATATTTGGCATTAAAGTACTGTTTATTGAGCATCTACTGTGTGCCAGGCACTGCATCAGGGCATTTGGACATGCTGTCATCCTGGGATTGAAGGTCTAGGGAAAGGAATCTGGAAAGATGTATGTTAAGTATGAGAAGGCCAAAGGAAACGCATTCATTAACTCCACAGCATTATGGAGTGATTTCTAGAATCCTGACTCTGAAAAATCCAAAACATTAGAATAAGGTGAAGTCCTGGCTTCCGGCCCTTCCTTTTGTTCAATGGTCCCCACCACCACCACCAGCACCACCACTAGGATTTCTGTGCTCAATAAGTATTTGTCCAATGGCTCGCAATTCAGGTGACTGATAGGATTCACCTGGCTCCATTGCAGACCCTCGCGGACCAGTTGAGCCCAACTTCCTGGAGCTCCCCAACAGCCCCAAGTGAAAACCTCTGGTCTAATGGAAATAAACGAAGGGGAGAGACATTATACTACAGGAAACTACAACAGTGACCTGTGACAGCAGCACGCAGAAAGTGTGAGAATTATGAGTGAATGGAGACTCACGTAGAAATAAAGGAAGAGGAGACTGTTTTTCTTTAGTGTTGACAAAGGGTGGAGGAGATTGGAGAGGGCACATGAAAGCCAATCAGGTGTTGTTACGTGTACCAACCCCCCGCCCTGTGCAATCACGATGATGAACTGCAAACATGTAAATAACAATAAAAATTTTTTAAAAAGTCAATCCAAGGACTGGAAACAACCAACCACACAACACCGTCCCATGCCAGATCCACAGCAGTAATAATATCTTGAAAATGGAGACGTGAGTGTTCCAAGAACCCAGGCCTACGCAGCGCCCTCATAGTTCCAACTGATGTGATAGTCCTACGAAGCCGGTATGGTTTTCATTCCGTTTTTAAAATAAGGAAACAAGTCTCCGAGGTGGACAAATAACTTGCATAAGGGCTTTCAGACAGTTCTGAAATGAAAACCCAGTCATTATAGCACTTAGCTAGCATCCCCAAGACCTTGGCTGCAGGAAAGGGTTGAAGGGAGAGGAAGGAAAGAGAAGACACAAAAACAAAGTAAAGCAAAGCAAAGCAAAGCAAAAAAGAAATAACCCAGTCAATCTGTCTTTAGAGCCTGCATCTTTAAGTGTTAGGTGTTTTGAGAGTCTCAGAAGAAATAATCTTTTGCAGATATAAGAGGAGAAATTTAAATTACTGAACACTGCATAACTTGAAATAAATTGGAGGTTGAAACAATCAACTATGGAATGGCCCTAAAAGCCCAATTTACAAAAAAACAAAAAACAAACAAACAAACAAAAAAAAAAAAACCCAAAAAACAAAAAAAAACCCTAAAAGCCCAATTTACAAAAAAACAAAAAACAAACAAACAAACAAAAAAAAAAAAAACCCAAAAAACCAACCAAACAAAAAAGCCAGGTGTGGTGGCTCACGCCTATAATCCCAACACTCAGGAGGCTGAGGCAGGAGGATCGCTATGAGTTCGAGACCAGCCTGGACTACATAGTGAGTTCCAGGTCAGTCTCATCTACATAGTGAGACCCTGTCTCAAAAAAACAAAAACAAAAACTAAAAGCCCAGTTTATTATTCACCTAGCAAATATAAATTGAACTACATCCAGAGTTTGTATCGACTTATTCATGGCTACTTCTGACCTCGTACTTAAGTGTCAGTTGCTGTTTGCCTCCCCCCATACTCCCCACCTGTGATCTGTACTACATGTGTTAATCACACAACTTCTGGCAACAGCTCATTGGCTCAGGAGGTGGATACCAGTCTAAACATTTGTCCATGGCTATTTTTGCACAGCTGAGAAAGGAGAATGGGCAATCTGGTACCTTTGCCACAATAGACTCAAATAAATGTGTGTAAGTTACCGTGTGACCCAGAACTCCACTCCTATATTCCCCAAGGAACTGGACGCAAAGATTCAAGTAGATAATTGTACACCAATATTTATAGCAACTTTATTCAGAACAGCCAAAAGGTGGAAACAGTCCAAGTGTCATCAGCAGATGGATAAACAAAATGTGCTAATGTATATTAAAAAGAATATTATTCAGTCATTTTTACTAGAATGAAATTTCCTGGGCAAAGGGGCACGTGCCTGTAATCCCAGCACTCTGGGAGACTGAAGCAAAAGATCACAAATTCAAGCTCAGCCTGGACAACTTCATGACTTGGCAAGGCCCAGTCTCAAAACAAAAGTAAAAGAGCTGGGGATGTAGTTCAATGCAAAGGTCCTGGTTTCCATCATTGGTACTGCAAAAAAAATTTTTTTATAGCTACTACCATATGGATGTATCTTGAAGACGTTATACTAATAAAGGCCAGACACAAAATGACAAATATTGTATAATTCCATGCATATGGGGTATGTATAATTGGCAAATTTGTAAAGATAGGATAGAGGTTAGCAAGGAAGGAAAGAGAAATGGAGAGTTACCCTTCAATGGGTTAATGAAAAATTCACGGAAATGAACAATGCTGCCGCCTACACACATTGTGAATGTTCTTCACACCAAGTTATGTTTCAAATTGGTTAAAGGAAGTAAGATGGTGAAGCTGCTGGGAAAAACAATATAGAATTTCCTAAAAAAAAATTAAAAGGAGAATTACCATGTGATCCAGCAATCCCACTCCTTAGTATGTATCCACAGTAACTGAGAACAAGATCATACGGATTTATTTACACGCCAGTGCTCATTGTGAGGTGGAAAAAACTTCAGTGTCCACTGACAACTGAGTGGATAAAGAAAATACGGTGTGCATACAGTGGGATATTATTTGGTCATAAAAAATAATGCGTCATGCCATGGAAAAAATGAGGACATTATCTAAATGAAATAAGCCAATCATAAAAGATGAATTCTGTATGATTCCTCTTATATGAGGTTTCAAAGGTCATCAAGCTCATAGAACCAGAAAAGTAGAGAGATGCAATTACCAGAGGCTGGAGAATGGCAGAAATAGTTTTTCAGTGCCTATAGAATGTTCGCTTTGCAGGATGAAAAACTCCTGGAGATCTTTTGTACAACAATGCAATGTACATACAATGGTACTGTACACTTAAAAGTGGTCAAATAGCACAGTATGTATGTATGTATGTATGTATTTATTTATTTATTTCAGTGCTGAGAATCAAATCCAGGGTCTTGTGTATGCTAGGCAAGTGCTCTACTACTGAGTTACATGCTAAGCCCTAAGATGGTAAATTTGATGGCACGTGATCTTTTATACTGCAATAAACAAAATGGTTAAAGGGTAATATCATGCCACATATTTTTTTTTATATTTTCTTGGGGGTGGGGACAGGGTCTCACTTGAGACTGACCTGAAACTCACTGTGTAGCTCAGGCTGGTCTGGAACTGACAGAGATCCTCTTGCCTCAGCCTCCCGAGTGCTGGCATTATAGGCGTGCACCACTACCCCCCCAGCTACACATATAGTTTATCACAATAAAAAACTACTGAAAATGTTAATGTAACCTGTAAGCAACCATGCTACATAACATTAAGTCAGTTACTTTTCTCACTGTGTTTGTCAGTAGCACAACTTAACCACCTAGTATAACACTTCTTTTGTGGTGATTCTTTTTTCCAGTACTGGGGATTGAACTCAGGACCTTGTGCTTGCGAAGCAGGTGGAGGAACCACTGAGCTAAATCCCCAGCACTTGTGGCAATCTTTAAAAGACTTAGCTCACAATAACTTTTGACCATTGCAACATGAAGTCACATCCCCAAGTAAACAGCTCATCAGTGCACTATCTCATTCTCCTCCATCTTTAAAAACATCCACCTCCATGAGATGACCTCTGCATGTCCCAAACTAAACAGTTATTATTTCTGATAAGGTCTTCCTTAAGATGAAGAATTTACACGGAGCATCTTTTGATATGACTTTGTGAGGTCACATATATAAGATCACTCCCTCCTTGTATTATGAATTTTTCTTTTATTATGAATTTTCCCCAAAGTAGGGAAGTAGAAGTAGAGGCTTCTTGTTTATTCTCTTTTCTCAAATACGTGCTAAATTATTATTATTCCGAGCTTTTAAAAAATTATCACTTTCTTTCAGAGCTCTATGAATCTGCAGAAGCAGAAAGAATGGAACTGAAAAGTTGGAAAGCAAATTAGAACTGTTTTGGAAAGGTAATTTTTTCTCTATGTATCTTCAGGTCCATCTTCTTTTTTTTAATGTCAGGATCTTTTTTTTAAGCTAATATTCAATTGCACACACACACACACACACACACACACT